ATTCAATATCTTTGTCTAGACTTCAGAAATTGTGGCACGTAATGCAAGAATGGCATTGTGATTAAGATCAAACATTAAGCATAAATGAGACAAATTCGAATGTAGTGCATTTGGTCAATAAATAAGAATCGTTTCATATGTATTAATTAAAACAGTGAGCATCATCGTAAAGTTCTTCAAATATGACAGAGGTGGCGTTGCTCAGTGAAATGAAAATGAAGAAACGTTTCTATCGTTGGATTGTCTGTCTTCCTTAGACTATTATGATGTAGTTACTACTGACGCCTACTTCTTTTCATTAAGTTAATAATTCGGCGCTGATTTATATTTCCACGCCATCGGCTAGGAGTATTCTATTTCCAAGGCAGAGTAGACAGCAACCGCGTGACAAATATGGATTGTAGTCTCGTTCCTTCCTGCAGAGCGGCACTCACTTATTACTCTAAGATGAACGAAACGCGAGTGACCTCGTTGGGGCTTTAATCCGACTAAATAACCCCATTTAAAGAGGATAACTTATGGGAACCATTAAGAGGTAGATAAAACTGATCGAAACCACCTTTACGTTTGCAATATCTAAAATATAGCGTCGCATCAAAGCTACGAGACTTAGAAATAATCATATTTGTATCATTCCTTGTTTTTCGGTTTATTCTCATTCTGAAGTCGATGGAGATTTTACATGGCTGAAACGCCTCATTTCGAAAAGCGTCAAAAATCTCTCACTGTAAATGAATGATGACTCCTCATTACCTCAAGTTGACAGCTTTATGAAGTTAAGCGTCTGAACCAGTACTAATCCAGCAGTTTACTTCTCACAACCATAAACTGTGCTACAATATGCACGAGTCGTTAAATTCTGGTTCTTACATTTATGTACCATTATCTTACCACCGTGAGTAAACATTGCCTTGCAAGCGCTACTAAACGAAACAGTTTGCAGCCAGTTTATTTTAAGAAACGTTCTTCTTGTTCCTTTTTGAACATATCCGTGGTCAGTCGCAATGATAGTAAGTAAAATGTGTACGCAGGAGCGAGGTGGTTTTTTCTGATATTGAAAATCATTTCTGCCAAAATCTTGTTGAAGCATGGCACGAAGAGATCACGTATTCTAGCGTATGACAGAATTGTCATCAGTACGTCGCATAGTGTTCAAGTATTAGATGAAGATGTAAGGATCTCAACTCTTTGCTGTGGAGACACCAAATACGTACTGAATGTAAGTCATCACCAAATTCTGCTCAGAGACTGCTACCTGACCGCTAACAACTTTACGTTTGGAAGGGAGGCTTGAATTCAATGCACGAATAACACACAATGGAAGGAAAAGGAACCAGTGAACGGGAACAATGGTATGGAAAGAGATGAAATCTTGTTTGTGTCAAGATGACATTCTACAGTATGCGAACAGTATCTGGGTTCCAAAGCACATCCTCCACGGGTGCGTCGATGACGTTAGTTAAAACAATAAGCTGAACAGACTCGTCGAAGAGAAACGATACTCCACAAATCAAACGAAGCCTCAGAGGATTGGATAACTCACGCCATCTGCTGTTCATGAAGAAACTATAGAAACTACTAATGACTAAGCAGATGCATGAAGTGAACATTTGCTTTAGGATTCGTTGATGAAAACAAGCAATCGAATTGGCCACATTCCGAAAGAAGGCATGAACCGAAGTGCTGGTATTTGTCAAGCAACATGCAGTTTTCTCGAGCATGATTATGCTCCAGTTGCTTTAAAAGTAAATCGAAGTTTTAACATCAGAAATTCCTATGTGGTGCATCCATCACAAACCAAAAGCCTTCTTGCAGACCGGAAGAAATCACAAGATTGGTTGAGGTTTCATGTGAGGGGATATTCTAAGAAACTTCGTAATCGCACCAGCGGCGCCACGTAGGACCATAGAGTTCGCACATTGAGGAAAATTACTTTACTAATGTTCAATGCGAAAGAGAATTGACCTGCCCCCCTCGTTAGTCCCGTGGATATGAAAGGGCCAATCAATCATGAGCGAAATATTTAACATTCTGTTTAAGGCAACAGATTTTCGCGATTTAAACGACCGTCTTGTCGCCGCACTGGCTTCGTAGCCAATGTCAAGGTTGCTGAAGGATTAGAGCCCTGAAACATAAGATCCGAGAGGCTGAGGCAGAAAACGTGTCATGCGGAGTAGTTGTGATCGACTGATTTGATAAGTCAAATGCGTCAAATCCTGCAATTTGGAGAGTAGTGGAAAGTTGGCCAAAGGTTTGAAGCAGATGCTCCTGAAATATCGTCCACCCTTCAGAACTAAAGACGCAGTGGTTACATTACCGAAAATCAAACTATTACAACTGGCTCTGAGACTGGTCTCTAAGAAAACCGCCCGCATCTGTCGATACGAACTTCATCCAGCTGTATTCCTGTTTAACTGTCATTGCAAAAAAGGATTCGATCCATACATTTGCAGGCATAATGACGCAGGGTTATGGGGTAATTTTTAAATTCTCGCTGAGCTGGGTTCGAATGCCGAAAAAGAATATCATTTCTCAGGTTCGCAAATTCAATTGAACTACGAATTCAAGCTATGCTTTGTCAGTTCAGTGAGGTCAGAAACGAGTCGTTGACTCGTGAACTGCCGGGACCGCACGGTACTTCGATGCTGTCATAGCATGATCGCCGAGAAGCAAGGCCATGCTGCCAGAAGCACGCTCCTCTCATGGCTGCACTTAGCCGTGCCGCACCATGCAACTGACCATAGAATGTGATAGCCAGTGGGCGGCGTAAACAAACTTGTCTCTGGACCTAACGAGATATTCTACACAATTTTGGTATCCTTTCGAGTGAGGCAGCAAGTAAAATAAAGGAATCTACGACAAAGCAATATCCGATGGAGTTTGCAGCACCTGAGTCATTGGGCAAATGCGTGGGCATGTGATAAACCCTGGAAAAGTCTGCAAACGAAGTTCTTGCAACCGCAGAGAACAGAGACCATTATGCCTTGGCAAACTTTTAGTTGCATACGAGAGAAATTGACACGAGCACCACTTCATCGTACTGCTCCGAACTGATAACTCCTTGGTTAAAACAACGGAAGATGCGGACATTATTTGGATAACATGCCAAAAAATGATACGATAATAACACATATCGTAATTGCCTGATATTCCACACCTAGAAAATCGAATGGAATCGACTGAAGAGGTTTGACGCACAATTCGATTGTCTTACCGACAGTTCGTAAGATGGCACGCCTGACGGTTTTGAGTGATTAGATGTTTGGATGCCAGACAGACTGAGTGAATAAGACGCATTGATTGAATCATGCACAGTCTAACCGATTCACTCGCCACCGTGTGTAACTCAGAAACTGACTGAAGGATGGCCTGAATGATCGATTGCTTTAATCAGGAAATCAGGCATAGAATCGCTGACTGCCATGGAAACAGTTTTGCTGATTGGCTAACTGACTGACGGAAAAAATGAATTTTAAACTGGCCGACAGACGGTCGAACTAACAGAAGGTCCGATTGATCAATCGATTCACCCTGATGGGTCGAACTTATTGACGGACGAAATTTAAACGACCTGATCAACTCCCTGAATTAGTGACGAACGGTGTACCGGTGGTAACAGAAATTACCGCGAACTATTTTTGTTTGAAACTTGTATAAAATGCACCAAATGGCAAATCGTTCGGTGCTCAGTATCAGGCCAGCTTAGATAATAGCTGTAATTTCGTT